TTGTCACAAAGACACAGACCAACTAGACAAAAAATCAGCAAGGAAATAACAGAATTAAACCAAACCTGTGAACAAATGGATTTAGTAATGTTTTTAGACTGTTCCACACAACATCATCAGAATACACATTCTTCTCAGATGCAAATGGAACATTCTCTAAAATACACCATACACTAGCCCACAGAACATGCTTAAGTAAATGTAAAGGAATTAAAATTATCCCATGCATAATATCTGACCATAGTGCAATAAATTAGAAATTAATGACAAAAGAAACCTCAAAAACTCCATAAACACTTAGAAATTAAAAAATACCTGCTTAACAAACAATGGGTGAAATAAAGGAAGAAATTAAACAATATCTACAACTAAATGAGAATCTAGACACAACATACTGGAACCTATGGGATGCAATGAAAACAGCCTTAAGATGAAAATTTATAGCAGTGAATTCTCAGATTAGGAAAACAAGATGAGCACAAATAATTTCATGTTATACCACAAGCCTTTAGAAAAAGAAGAGCAAGACAAACCCAAAGCCCATAGAAGGGAGGAAATTATAAAGATCAGAGCAGAAATTAACACAATGGAAGCCAAGAAGCAATTCAAAGAATTAATGAATCAAAGAATTGGTTCTTTGAGAAAATAAGTAAAATTGATAAATCCTTAGGCAACCTTATCAAAAAAAGAAGAAGATTCAAATTCTTGCATTGAGGAAGGCTAAGGGTGAAGTCAGTACAGATCCTGTGGAAATTTAGATCATCAATACCTTCTTTGCAACTCTTCACTCTCATAGGACAGAATGCACAGAAGAAATTTAGAGTCCTAGACACATGAATGACCAAAGCTGAGTGAAGATAACACAAAAATTCTCAGTAAGCCAATAATAGTTAATGAGATTGAAAATGTAATTAAAACCTTAGCAACAAAGAAAAGCCCAGGTCCTGATAGATTCACAGCTGAATTCTACAAGAAATTTAAAGAAGAGCTAATGCCAATATTCTTCAAGCTCTTTAGTGAAACTGAAAGGGAAGCACTACTCTCTAACTCTTTCCTGGAGGCAAGTATTATCTTGATACCAAAACCAGAGAAAGATACAACCAGAAAGAGAACTATGGGTCAATCTCCTTAATGAACATAGATGCAAAAATTCTCAACAAGATATTAGCAAACAGAATTCAACAAATATTCAAGAAGATTATACACCACAACAAGGTGATATTTATCCCAGGAATGCAGGGATGGTTCAACATACACAAATCAATAAATGTAATACACATATCAACAGAGCCAGAGACAAAAAAATCACATGATCATCTCAATAGATGCAGAAAAAGCTTTTGATAAAGTCCAGCACTCAATCATGATACACACCCTATAGAAAACTGGAATAGATGGTCTTATCACAATCAGATAAAAGCCATCTCTGACAAACTAGCAGTCAACATTATACTAGATGGATAAAAATGGAAAGTTTTTACTCTAAAATCAGGAACAAGACAAGGATGTCCACTATCACCACCCCTTTTCAATATAGTTCTGTAAACATTAGCTAAACATTAAACAAGAGAGAGAAAGAAAAGGAATAAGGAGAAAGAAAAGGAATAATTATTCACATAATGACATGATACTCTATATAGAAGACCCCAAACACTCCACCAAAAGACTCCTAGAATTAATAGACAAATTCAGTTGCATGCTGGATATAAAGTCAATACTCAAAAATCAACAGCATTCTTGTACACAAAAAACGAATTTACTGAGAGAGAAATTAGGGAAACCACACCCTTCACAGTAGCATCCAAAAAAAATGAAATACTTAGGAATCAATCTAACAAAGGAAGTAAAAGATTTATATATTGAAAGTTACAGTATTCTGAAAAAGGAGATTAGAGAGGATATCAGAAAATGGAAAGATATCTGTTATGGTGTATGTCTGGGTGTCCCCCCAAAGCCTCATTTCGCCATGGGGCAGGCTTTTAAAGTTTGATTGATTAGGGGTGTGAGAGCTGCACCC